TGCTCTGCCAAGAATAAATCAGGATATCTTCGCTCGTCACTTGGCTGTTTGAGCAATGCCAGGGAGAATCTCCCACCACTTCTCTGGCTGTCACATTAAAAAGAGTTATTTTAGCTTTTCCCTCTGAGTGCACAGAAAGCAGTTAATCACTCACAGTTATGCACTTCTTCGCTGTATTGATCTCACACAAAAAGCAGTAGCAACAGCTACACCCCCCTCCCGGGGAGTTCCATTCTTCCAGATGGTTTCAAGGCGAGCCTGGTTCTCCCAGTGAGTAGCCAGCACACTGGGTAGCCAGCTCAAGCCTCTTGCTCCCCACTGCTCCTTCCCTGGAGCATGGGGTGGTCTCCGTTTAATACAGGAGCCCCTTTACAAACCCGGAAGTGATCAATCACATGGAGTGAACTCCTGTGTGACCGCCCTGTGTGACCGCCCGCACCGCGCTGCAGCTGCAATCCCTTCAATATATGTTAATACTGACGCTTGCTTCAGCTCTGTTTCAGATTTCAAGTTGGTTCAAGATAAGCCAAATTCTATTGCAGCATTGATGGGGAGGAGAAAGCCGCAGTGGGCCCAACAACAGAGGCTAGAAACGTTGCCACATCTGGGGGCAGCACTGGCATACAGGGCCATAGCCAGTGGTGGGGTATTGGGGCTGATGCCCCTACTCAATCTGTAACTCCTCCCACCTCCTGCCAGGGTGACCTCCAAGAGCTCTTGGGCTTCTGCATGCCACAGGCACCCGGCTCCAGCAAAGCCTGAGCACCATGGCTGATGGCAGCCTTGTTGCACTCAAGCACTGGCTGCCCCAGGCTGGAGCGTTTGGTCAGGTGGTGCGCTGGCGTGGTCGCGCCCAGCTCAGCCTAGCCTACCACACTGCAAGGAGCTGGGAGCAGGCTTGACTTGCTTAGGCTGGGCTAGGGGGTGGTGGCTGGTGCTGCTACAGCTGAGGGGCTCACGGGAAGGTAGCGGTGCTGATGGCAGCACTGGGCAGGAAGGACAGTTGTACTGCAGCCATTGGGGTAGCCTGCCTGGCATGAACAACGTGGCTGGCTCTCTCCTGCAGGCCGGTGGGGCTCTCCAGCCGACGTCAGTGGGGAAGGACGAACAGTAGCAAGTGAAGATCTTTTGCTAGCCTTTCCTTGCGGCTCGGTAGTCTGTGGCCAGGGCATACACTTGGAGGAGCACCCCGCCGAGCACAAAGCAACAGAGGCTGCTGCTTCACATTTCGGCTGGGTGCCGCCTCGTCCCAGTGCAAACGGCACAAAGTGTGAAGTCGTGGGCCCAGCAGCAGCAGTGGCATTCCACCCCAGGAACTGGACTGTACCCGGTGGCAGCACAGCTTGGGAGCTATGGCAAGCATGGCAGCGGCACAGCTCAGAAGCCATGCTGGGCTTGGCAAAAAAGTATGTGGGGGAGATGGGATTCCCCTCCTGTGAGACTTGTAGGGTCCTCTCAGCCAGGAAGGAAGTCCTCACCCCCCCCCAACTAAGCCAGCAAGCCCACTGCCCACCTGCTGGAAGGTAGGTGGGGAGAGCAGCCAAAGTGAGGGTGAGTGAAGTGCCAATGGTGGAGGTATTTATTTATTATTCATTTGATTTATATCCCACCCTCCCTGCCGGAGCAGGCTCAGGGCGGCTTACATAGAATACAATAATTAAAACAACAATATAAATAAAAGCATAAAAACACAACATAAGTCATTAGTAAACAATTTAAATGGCAATGGCGAAAGCAGGGTAGCATCAACATACTAATAAATGTAGTCGGTATTTGATTTTAAAGTCGGCGAAGCTCAGGCTGTCAGTGGTGGTATTGGGCACAGGGCCTTAGTGTGTTGGGTGCGGCTCCTTAACTAAAGGTCTGGTGGAAGAGCTCCATCTTACAGGCCCTGTGGAACTGTAAAAGGTCCTGCAGGGCCCTGAGGTCTTCCGGGAGCTCATTCCACCAGGGCGGGGCCACCACTGAAAAGGCCCTGGCCCTAGTTGATGCCAGCCTGACGCCTTTAGGACCTGGAAGGGCCAGACGGTTTTGGGATCCTGACCACAGTGCTCTCTGGGGAACGTGGGGAAAGGCAGTCCCTCAAGTAGGTAGGCCCCTGACCATAAAGGGTTTTAAAGGTAAGCACCAGCACCTTGAAGCGAATCTGGTATGCTATAGGCAGCCTGTGCAGTGCTTTTAGCACAGGCTGAATGTGCTTCCACATGGGGAGACCCAACAACAGCCTGGCCACTGCATTTTGCACTGGCTGAAGCCTCCGGATTTGGGACAAAGACAGCCCCATGTAGAGAGCATTACAGTAGTTTAGCCTCGACGTGACCATTGCATGGATCACTGTCGCCAAGTCATTGCGTTTGAGGAAGGGAACCAACTGCCTGATCAGCCAAAGATCATAAAAGACTGACTTAGCAGTGGCTGCTACCTGGGCCTCCATCATCAAGGAGGCATCCAGGAGCACTCCCAAACTCCTAACCTCCAACACCAGCACCAATGGTACACTGTCGAAAGTTGGGAGTGGGTTTCCTACCCCTGGGCCACCCTGACTCAGGCACAGGACCTCTGTCTTCGTCGGATTCAATTTCAGTCAGCTCAGCCTAAGCCAACCAGCCATGGCCTGCAACGCCAGGTCCAGATCTCCCAGACTAGAGCCAGACTAGCCACCCAACAACAGATAGAGTTGGGTGTCATCTGCATACTGGTGACATCCCAGCCCATGCCTCTGGGCAAGGGGGCGCATGTAGATGTTGAATAGCATCAGAAATTGGCCCTTGGGGTACACTGCAAACAAGCGGGACATCTGTTCCCCTAGCACCACCCTTTGTCTCCAACCCTGAAGGAACGAGGAAAGCCACTGCAAGGCAGACCCCTGAATCCCAGCATCAGTGAGGCGGTGGATCAGTAGCTGATGGTCAACCATGTTGAATGCCACCGACAACAACACTGCTGAGCCACCCCGATCCAGATGCCTCTGAAGGTCATCTGTGAGGGCGACCAGTACTGTCTCCATCCCGTGGCCTGGTCAGAAGCCGGATTGGAAAGGATCTAGTATGGAAGTGTCATCCAAAAAACCCTGCAGGTGGGAGAGCCATGAGGGTGGTGGGTGAATGGAGTACCAAGGGTGGGGGGTAGGTCAGGAGAGCAGCAAGAGGGGGGTGTAGATTGATGGAGAAAAGTGGGGGGGCTGGGAAAGTAGTGGGGGTAGCTTGACATATAAGGGGAGGGGTAGATTGATGATGAAAAGGGAGAAGGGGGGGCAAAAGATGGAGGTAGGTTGACAAAAAGGAGGGGGCAAAAGGTACCCTGTCATCTTCTTCACATCTCTCAAAGGACTCCAGCCCTCTGGTACACAGAACAGGTATGAAACAGATATGTAGAGAACTAGAGTTCAGGTGGCATGACTCATGACAAAGCTAGCAGGTGCACCCTAGAGACCATTTGTAGGCATACAAGTGGTGGCAACCAATCTTTCTTCTCTATCACCCTGTTATCAGTGAAATCACAACTAGCTGATCTCTTCTGGGTGATGAAAGGATGTGTGTGCCTAACAAATAAGTTACTAGAGAATGAGGTACCTACAGAAATTGTAATAATTTGGCTAGTAAATGTTGCCCAATCTGTTTTATTCCCACCTCACAGAGCCTTGACCAGGGATGTAAGAAACAACCATGTCAGAATTTCCTAGATCATTTCAACCTTGTTTCTTTCACAGATGTCAATAGAGTATTTTGGGTTGTCAAACTCACTACATGTTTAAATCCATGTTCATCCTGGCTGGTTAAGACCAGCAAAGTGGAGCTCATAGGCCTGTGGCTGAAATAGTTAATAATCATTTCAAAAGGGAAAGATTCTCCATGTTTTATTTATTTATGTTATTTATAATTATTTTACATTAGTGATGTTACATTATTCATCTTTATTTATATATATCAGAAAGGGCAGATTTTTTCCTGGTCTGGAAAAGCTGTCTTTATATACGGATGACTTAGTAATATTTAGACCTAGTAGTAATCTTTCCTTTTAATAAAGGTAGCTGAATATATAGCAATAGACCAACTACAGGCATATCTTTCTTCCATCCATTTCATTTGGACTTTGAGCCTGGTTTGTTTGTTTGTTTGTTTTTAGTTCATGAGACAGTTTACATTATTTAAAATCGTTCAGGAAGAAGTAAAGTAACAAGATAAAATCAACAGTATAAACTAATAATGAAAAGTTACAGCCAAAATTAAAGCAATAAAAACCATAAAAGTAATATCAGGAAAGCAACAAAAAGAACATCAGAAAATCAATATGCAGACCAGGCATAAAAACAACAAGAACAAATGATACAGCCACGAGAGGCTGAAAATGAAACTGTTGTCACCTAGCACTGAAAGCTTAACCATACTGGCACCAGGTGCTACAGAGAGGAAGTTTTAGCTACAGGGAGGAAATTTCACTACAGGGAGGAAGTTCCACTAACATGCCATAATAGAGAAAGTCTTAGTAAGGTAGTCACTTGCCTCTGAAGGTGAAGGCACATGGAGGGTAGTGTGGGTTGTCCAAATTATTTCTTTCTTCCCATGACTGCTTACAGGACCCCAGATTGTAGCCATCAACTTGTGCCCTTTTTTAAAAAAACGTAGTCTGTCTTCTCTGCATCTGTGTCAGGTAGCCTGGTCTTCGGCTGAAATTCATTGACCTCTGATGAGGTGGAAACTTGACTGTTCTTGCATCAAGACTGTATTTATCTTGCAATCGTTTTATTCTTTCCCAAAAATCTTCCTTGTTGCACAACTGAAAGAAAAATAGTTCCAACCAATGTGTATTACATAACACAGTATGTCAGCTTACTTAAAATATGCTTCCAATAGTTACTTCATCTTTTAATCTAATATTATTCTGGGTATGCTTGCAAACCTCCACAGATAACTGGTTTTACATGTTTCTTATGTGAAGTTCATTTAAACTGAAGATCCCATCTTGATGAAATTCGGTAGAGAATCAATATGTGCCATTAAATATTTATGTAAGAATTTTTACCTGGCGAAACTTTTTACATGTTTTTGACAATTGTCCAATATCCTCCACACTGAGGAATGACAAGATGTGTATGATCAAATTCTCAGGCATTCGAACAAGGAAATCATAATGTCCTTGACACAAGTTGAGAACATAATCTAATATTTTCTTTCCAAAGATGCTTTGTAGTTGCTCTAAATTGTTTAAAAAAAGAGAGAGTGAAAATATTTTAAATTCAGCCGCAGCAGGAAAATTCCATCTTCTATGTTTTTTATTTTATTGAACAAGTTTGTTTTACAGAGAAGGGAAACATATAGAGGCAAATACATCTTAAATGAGGTAGTATGAAAAGCCTTCAGAACAGAAGTGCTATGAAGAAGGAATCACCTTCATTTAAAGATTGAAAAAATACAATGCTGAACATTAACAGGATTCCTAACTCTGAAGCAAACATAGTATATTTACCTTTAACATAGTATGTTTATCTTGAACATAGTATATTTACATTTTCAAAGCTTTATATTTGTGTTTTTAAAGCTCTGTTGGAGAATGCAGAATCTCCACTATTTGTACACAAAAAAATATAAAGATCCACTGCAGCACTGGCACGTGCAGTGTACTGTAGAGAAATGAAGGATGTGTGAAGTGCTTCTATTCCTAATTCTTGCGTTTAGGCCTCCTAAAAATCTCCAGGAATAAATCAGCACAGTGTCTTTCTCTGGGTAAACCCAAATGCATCAGCTCACACAAATATACCTTGTACACGTATGCCTTCATATGTATATACAAAGAATGTGTGTGTTTGGAAGAAAACCACAAGCAATGCACTAATAGGGTTAAAGCCAGGATTCACTGGTCAGACTGTACCAAAACATCCCAGGTACCTAAACTGATGCTTAAATCATGGATACTTTCTCATCAAGGGACCTAGAAGTAATCTAGAAGTCATACACAAAAATTCTTATTCTCTGAACAAATGCCATGTAACACTTTATATTAAGACCAACCTGAGAGATCTTTCTTCTCTTCCACCCACACATTTTTATAAAACCTAGCCTGATTAAGAGTTCTGGAGAACCTGGAAAGCCCTTACATTGTGTTATTGTATTTTAGTTGGTCTTGATATGTTTTTGTTCTTGGACTTTGCTACAAATCTATCTAGCTACCTCCTTTTTCGTATTCTTTGAAAAAAATCACTAAGGGAAGCAGAAGCCTAGCTAAAGTGAAAGCAAGGGGATGAAAGTTTAATATTGTTTTCTTTGAGCATATCTAGTCAAGCACTTACATTAGAAAAGCAAAGATGAGCATTTGTGTGAGGAAGAACCCCAGCTTATATTGTCCCGTTGGAATAAAGAGACTCACACAGGTGTGTTGGTATAAATAAAGGGCAGCTTTATTAAATTTTAACTTTAAATGATGAACTGTAACTTGGCAAGGGCCAACTAAAACATAAGCATTGGCAAAGCGATACACCCTAGTCCCTTTCCTGGCCAGAACTGGGTGAGCCACCAAGCCCCTGGCGCAAGCCAATGATAACATGGCCGTTGCCAGGCACAGGACACACCAATAACCCTGTGAAAGAAAGCCAGCTGCCTCAAGCTGCAGAACTTGAGGGGAGGCCAAATCCAGGGAGTATCATAGGCCGCTTCCTGCCAACAGATGGTTCCTGCTAAATGCTCCCACACCCCAATCAAGGAGGGGGTCTGTCTGTTGGTGCTCACCACCCTACCAAATCAGCTAGATTCCTGCCATGGCACCAACCCAAAGCCAATTACCTACCCGGCCCCAAAAGTGGTGACCAGCGTTCCCTTCAAGCTGAGTTAGTGTGAGCCAGCTCACAGTTTTTTAGCCTCCGACTCACACATTTTTGTCTTAGCTCAGGAAGGACGGCTCCAGAGCAAACTAATTTATGCAGTAGCCAAATCACTTGCTCGCAACTTTAATGCTGGTAGCTCACAAAGTAGAATTTCTGCTCACAGGACTCCACAGCTTAGAGGGAGCATTGGTGGTGGTGACCAGCAAAAGCCCACATTGTAGAAGGAGGGCCAATAGAACTGAGAAGACTGCCCGTTAGAAGGGCATGCAGAGCAACTACACAAGCAGCTCCGCCCCCCCCCAGTACCCATATGGGTGGGAATTGACCAGCCAGTCTCTTCCACCTTCCATGGATGCAAAGAAGGCTCTCCATTCTAAAGCAACTGCAAGAGTTGCAGCCTGGTAGGGCCATATTAGCTAACTTCTGAAAGACTGGTCAGCTCAGGGCTCTAGTCGGGGGGGAGCTCTCAGGTACGGAGCTCCGGAAGAGAACCTCTAGGGGGCGGGGGCGGTCACGTGGTGAAGCCCCGCCCCCTTCTTTACCCCGCCCTCTGCTTCGATCCTCATTCCGTTTGGGAATGAGGATGAAGCAGGAGGGTAAGTAGCCGGGCCTTCTGACACACTTCCGGTGATGTCAGGGGGTGTGGCCTTCTGTCACTTCCGGTGATGTCAGGGGGCGTGGCATATGCAAATAAGTTATGCTAATGAGTTATGCTAATGAGCTCCGGCAGCTCTTTTTCTACAACAAGACCCCTGGGTCAGCTAATATGGCAGCTATATTTCATCTTCCTCTTTCTCCTTGCTAACTTTCATTTTACTTCTGAGGGCAATTCCATGTGCAGTTTTTGATCTAGAATCCTCTAAATCATCTGAACTTAAGGTTTTAAAAGGACAATCACCCCCTGTATGATTCTGTCCACCCATTAAGAGTCTCCCCAGAGGCTCATCTCAGGA